GCGATCACAGGGTGCCGGCGGGGAATCACTGGCCGGGACGCGGTGATCAACATTCGAGGCCGCCAATGGCAGCGATGGTAGGGTGCACATGCCCCCTGCCTGGACATGCAAAATCATGTATATATATATATATATATATATATATATATATGCGATTTTGCGCAGGGAGTCTGCCCTGTAGCCGTATTTCTGCTATAAGGTGGACTTAAAGCGGTTAAGTAAGACCACCTTAATGCACAGATTACCAATAATGTTTGTTTTCAGAAAAGTGGTGCCTTTAGGCATTTATACACAAAAAGTGTTTTTTTTCTGAAAGCGCTGCTGTTGGATATGCAATCAAACCTATACTTTTCACAGCTATGCTTAATATATACCAAGATGATGGGCAGTTAACATGAACATGTTTTTTAGGCCCTTAATATTAGTGGAGTCTGACATGCACTAGCTAGCACAATATCACTGTCAAGGATTTTGACGAGACTTGGTAATACAGTTTTTCACTAGTAAGATAAACGGAGTATAAAAGAAAAAAAAATAGGACATTCTCTGTGGCTCATGAAGCACTTTTAACACAAGCTTGGATTTAAAATTAAATGCAATACACAAAAGACAACTAAAATCACCTGAGACTTTACAAAAATTGCCTTGAAAATGGGTTTGTTGCTTCAAATCGAGGATCTATGAATGCCTTCTAATCTGCATGTTCTGAGCAACAAAGTGTACCTTCTATTACAGGTCATATACTAGCTTTTTAGAAGAAGAAAATTCAACTGTATAAAACAAATCAAAAAATTCAAAAATGACTGCTGATAGTTGACAGAAACTGGAGCTACAGCAGCCAAAATTTGTTTCCAGTGCAGTTGTTTTTATGCAATAAAACTTCAACCCACCTTAATGCAGTGTTATGGTGGAAACACGGCATAGAAACAATTGTTTTCTATGTGCCCTGGCATTGAGCCTGCATTTATTTATGCTAGTCAATGCAGCTCATCTGATGTGATGTGAACAAGCTTAGGGAAAGGTTAACACAGGTGTTTGGTACAATCAGCCTAAGGACCCATATGTGTGGCATGAAGGCAGTAAAGCTATTACCCTGTAGACCAGACTTTGAACGCTCCAATTTTAGTAAATCTCCCCCAATGTGTCTCTTCAAACTAGGTTTTTGAAACTTGACCATGTGTATTTCTCTCATTAGTAAAACATACAAAGTGCGGCGCTTCATGTAACCAAAACGTTTATGGAAAATAGGTGGAATAAATTGAAGTCCAATTCGCATGTAAAGGAAATATGACGTAAAATAAGCCCCTCTTTATTGGGACATCAATGTTGTCATGAATGCTTCAAATCTGGTCAAGAAGATGAAGGAAATCCACCATCACCAACACTAAAAAAAATTCTGCCTCTTACCAGACCAAATTGACCCCCAGTTAAGGACGAGTCAAAATGTGCAATGCAAATTCCATGGACCTGGACACTTTGACACCAAAAGGATCAAATTGGCCCCCAATGGTAGATGGATAAACACTCACTGTATAATTCCAAAAGCAAGCTGTAATCTGGACAATTGTAGGGCTCCAAACTTTTACTCCAAAAATTGAACAGAAAGATGAACCTGAATTTCTCTTAATATGTTTACTTTAGCGATGTATTTACTTATTGCAAATGGGTATCATATATAACACTATGGGGTTGATTTACTAAAGCTGGAGAGTGAAATATTTGGTGCAGCTCTGCATAAAAACCAATCGGCTTCCAGGTTTTTTTTTTTTCAAAACTTAACTGAACAAGCTGAAGCTAGAAGCTGATTGGTTACCCTGCACTGCTGAACCAGATTTAGCACTCTCCAGTTTTAGTAAATTAACCCCAATGTGTTCTTGTGATATGCTTGGAACCCTCTGCGTTAAAATCAAATAAAAAAGAATTTACAGATTTGTCCTCCAGCCCAGAGAATACAAGCTATGTAATGTAATGGCGAAACTTGTGCTCCATTTGGATCTACGAGTCCCTCTGCTGTGGTGGGAAGCGGGACTTGAAGTCACAGGATCTGTGAATGAATGACGTGGCTGTGCTGGCTCCTCCCATGCAGCCATGCCAAAATCAAAAATACACAGGGCACTTAAAAGAGAAGAACCCCAAATTCAATAAAGGAGGGATTGGATGGCTGCAGACTTTGACCTTGTTTCATGTTACACCCTCAGATGAAACATGGTCAGAAAGGTGAACTTAGCCTTTAAACTAACTGCTTGACCTCTGCCCTATAGCAGATTTACTGCTACAGGGCTGATGCTCTGTGCAAAATCACATATATAAATGTGATTTTGCACATCTGTCATAGGGGGTGCGCATGTGCTGCCGGAGCACTGCTTCTAATGTGCTTGGCCACTGCAGAAGCCGATCAACGGGTGCTGGCCAATGGATGAGCACCGGCAACTGTTGACTACTGAGCAGGGGCGAACTGACCATTTGGAGACTCGGGCACTGCCCGAGGGCCCGGGGTCAGTAGGGGGCCCCATGAGATGCCCCTGGTACCTTTTCATAGGCTTTTTTGAGTTTGGACAAGGACACAGGGGCCCCATGAGTTGTCAGTCCGCCCCTGCTACTGAGGAGACTGACAGAACATAGCTTTGACTATGTAAAGAAGGCAAAGCTGTGTTCAGTCAGCGGGGATCTGCTATATTTTTCAGGGAATAAAATCTAGCAGTTTGCCTAGTAAAAAACACAAATAGTTAAAAAAACAATGGCTAGGCACACAGTTAACCCTTTGATCGCCCTAGATATTTAACCCCTTCCCAGCTAGTGTCAATAATACAGTGACAGTATATATTTTTAGCACTGATCACTGTATTAGTGTCACTAGTTTCCACAAAGTGTCAGTAAGTGTCAGACTGTTGGCCACAAGATCGCAGTCCTGCTAAAAGTCGCTGATCACTGCCATTACTAGTATATTTAAAAAATCCAGTATGTATAAAACATAGTTTGTAGCCGTTATAACTTTTGTGCAAAGCAATTAATATATGCTTATTGGGATTTTTTTTACTAAAAATCTGTAGCAGAATACATTTTGGCCTAAATGTATGAAGAAATTAGATTTTTTTATTGGATATGTTTTATAGCAAAAATAATTTTTTTTTTGTTTTTTTTTAATCTGTCTTTTTTCAGTTATAGCGAAAAAAAAAAAAAAGGTGATCAAATAACACCACAAGAAAGTTTTATTTGGGGGGGAAAATGATATAAAAATTATGTACAGCATTGCATGACCACGCAACTGTCAGTTCAAGTAATGCAGCGGCTTATTGCAAAAAATGGCCTGATCATGAAAAAGGGTAAATCTTCTGTAAGTCAAGCGGTTACAGAGTGTTTTTTGAACCTGCAGGAAAAATGTCTGCTCTTTTTAAAGGGGAGCAACACACCTGTAGAGTTCATGAGCCCCATCCAATCAACTATATTTTGTGCAACTCAAACAAACCTCGGCTATGTAGATTTTATGGACACCTGTTCATAGCAACTACTGATGAATACAAATCAATGCAAGAGGATAGTACAAGTGTTTATCTGTTTAGTGACACCAATGTCCACATTAGAAGTCCTACCAGCAGATTTCAATGAAATCTGTACAAGACGTTACTACAGTTTTGCTTGAAGTGTGCTAGATGCATGGAATGCTGATGACTTTCAAGCACCACAGATGTCACCAAACACTGACCAAAAACCTGCCCAGCACTTTTTCTTTTTAGAAGAAAATAACATCCTACTTTTGCTTGCCACCGCCATCAACATTACAGAGGTATTTTCTTAGTTTCAAGGGAATAGATCATCACCTCTCAAGGATATACTAAAGGATGTAAGCCTCCAAAGAAATACTAAGAAGCCTAATAGATGCTCTGAATGGTAATACTCATGAGACAGTAGTGGCAGAAGGACGTATGGAGTTTGGCCAGAAAGGGCAAGTTGTGGCTTGCTGGGCACAGGGCGTAGACATTATCCCCAGGGATATCAGGTCTTTCTTGTAGACTATCCATGTGAACAGCTCCTCGTTCAGTATTATACTAGATACTGGCACAATTTTTCAAAATAAGCAATACCTTTCTGGTTATAATTTTTTTTTTCATGTACATCCATGCTTCTTTGTGCATGCTCTATCATTTTTGTCATGGTTTCATGTACTGTATGTTTTGCAGATGTCAGTTTTCAATAATACGAAGATTAGTTTTGCTCTATAACAAAAAAAAAAATATCGATATATTTCAGATTAAATAGACAGCTATGGGCAACAGCTCCAATTTTTGCGGCAGAATTTTTTTCTAGAACAGCTTACCTAAATTGGTCACGGAAATCAGATCTACTGTCTGCAATTGTCTCTGCATATGATGCATGGTAGAAACGCATTCACCCCTGACTTAGGATCCCACTTTACTCAATACTCCATGAGAGACTCTACCAGGCATCCATATTAACTATTGAGCACCATTTTAACCTCCCTAGCAGTCTGATTATGTCCATATTTCTGTGCTCAAAGCGGTACTTTTTTTGCATGGAAATATGTATTTTTTTTATTGTAGGCCTGTCATTTTTAGGAATAACTCACTGAAATCTGTCTGAACAAGAGTCTAGTAAACATCCCAGGTAGGATAAAACTTGAAACATGAAATCATAAATTATAATTTAATAAATAATCATAAAAAAATAATAATATAATAACAATAAAAAATTTTATTCAATAATATAATCAAACCAAAAACACTGAAATTTGAAATATAGCGCCAAGTTCGCACATCACTGAGCAAAGTCGCAAAATCGTTTTCAGTGTCTGATGACGAATTTCCCCACGAATCATTATCACTCAGTTCTGCAAGTGGTTCTGATTTACTATCGCTGTTCTCTAGCTGGTCTAGCTTTGACCTAAAGGGACGCTTTTTGGACGCCATGGACATTTCTAAGTTTCCAGGCAGAAAGAACAGCAAAAATGTAGGCAGGGCACAGGACAAAGCACTCGGGACAAAATGTATGTGAAATGGTTTGATACAGTAATGTTTTACTATGTGATTTTAGTGTATTGAGTGAATGTCACTTTTTGTCATTTTCAAATTTCCCACCGTTCCGTCCCCCGTACGTCCCGACGCTCGCAGGGGACGGAACCCAGATAACAGATGTCGGCATCGGCCGGATTACATTGCCGGAGACACTGCAGGAGGTACATCGTGGGAGCGCAGGACAAGGTAAGTGATCGAGGGATCGCGGAGCAGAGCCGCATAGTATTCCCGAGTGTAGCTCGGGGTTACCGCTTGTGGTACTGAAACTTTACCCCGAGCTACACTCGGGAATACCGCCAGGGAGGTTAAAACATACACATAAAAGCAGAGATGTGCTTGTATGCATTGAGCCAGACACCTGAGTGTATGGAAGGTTAGATCACCTTATTTTTTACTGGTGCTAAATATTACTGAATATTATTTTTTTTTAATAACTCAATAATTATGAAACATGGTAAAAAGTGGCAACTGAAAAGCTATTTTTTTACTGGTGCTAAATATTACTCTGTACCAGGTTTCAGAATCAGTTATTGAAAAAAAAATATAAAGTGGCAACTGAAAAGCAAAATGTGCCCCACCCTAAGCCTTATATGTCCATCATCTGCTGCAAATTTAGCAGATAATAGAGTAAACATTGATAGCACGTTTAGATGATGTCAACCCTGTACAAAGAAATATAAAGAAAATAAAATGTATTTTATTAATTACTACAGAGCAAATAGGGGTGTAACTAAAATAGTGACAGATAACCTGTTTGGGGCTTAAAGTGTTACTAAACCCACAACAGTAAATCAGTCTGTATATGCAGTAAAGCATGCTTGTTATACTCACTGTGGAACCTAAGGGGTTAATCCTCTGCATTGTGTAAAAAGGCTGTTTGATCCTGTCTTCTCCGATCCTCCCCTTCTTCTACTGTCCCTAGTTCATCTAATGATATTACAGAGCCCTAGGAAACTTTGTACATGCTCAGTTTGGTATGTATTGCTATCGTTTTTGTTTTTTTTTTGGGGGGGGGTGCATATGATCAGCACAGAGCCAATCAGCACTGTCCAGACAGAGGATCAGTGGTCATGCGGCCTCATAGAACAGTCAGGGGAGAATGAAAAATTCCTCCTACAACATTAACCAGTGCTCAGGTGGACACTGATAGAAGTAACAAGGCTGCTGTATACTGCTGATGAGAAAAGGTCTCCAGCAGTTTATATGTACTAAAATAATTGCATTTCCATGTTCTGTGTACTGTGGAAGAATGGATATAGTGAATGCAGGGTGCTGGCTTTAGTAACACTTTAAAGTGCATCCAAACCCAAAACAAAAAATGTGTTATATTGTAGAATACTAGTGCTTAGTGTGGTGGCTGCATTTGTTTTTCTTTTTCAAGCTTCTTTTGGTTTATTTTCCACTGGTAATCCTGAAAGTAACACTTCCTGTCCCTGTGTGGCTACATCAGTCCTCTACTGTGTTTAATGAGGGATCCATGGTTGTCACCCTAGGCTGCTCTCCTGATACATCTGACTACAAGCATGCATTTAACTCTTCATCTCCATTACATGGAGGGCAGGGAAATTGATAATTCACAGAACGTAATGAAGAAAGAAGATATTCTTCGGTGCAGCTCACAGGAAAGGACAAGTAAACAGTATTTCTGTCATCCTCAACAGGTATTTTGTGAATTTGCTGAAAAAGTTCTTAGCTTGAAAAAAAGAAAACAAAGGCAACCACTGCATATCAATATATTGCATTTTCGTTCTTGGATTTAGTGTGGTTCTGAACCCTCTGAAGGGAAACTTGCAGGCTGCCTAATGGTATTGAACGTCTGCTTCCATTTTAAAGAGGGTACCTTCAGCTGTCAGCATGTCCTTTCTACGGTCTGACAGAGCTCCACTGAGACATTCATAATAATTAGCTACTGTGTTTAAATCAAAACTCCGGGTAAAAACTTCTTTACATGTCCTTGTTGCCGATTTCCTACCTTCGCTGGATATGTCATCCATCTTCTGGTTCACTCAGTTGTTACTCTGAAATAGCCTGTTCATTTTCAAATCAAACCATTCATTCTCTTTGGTTTTCTGTTTGCCTCCTATTTCCCAGCCATTGGTCTTGGCACATCCCCTCTGTAGTTCTTTCTCCAGGAAGCAGTGATGTAATTCAGCCCCTTTTGCAGTGGCGGGCAGACAGACTCGGACACATTGAACATGTACAGGTCTAGTGCACCCACCCACATTCACTACAATTCCTGTGGTTTATGGGAACTGTAGTTTCCTTTTACTGTAGAGAGGAGAGGATACGATGTAATCCCTGCTGTTACTCCTCCTCCATGACAGAGCAGATGCTGTTATCTTTTGAATTACAGAGATGAGGTCATGAAAATTCAGTTAGACTTTTCTCCTAAATGGTAAGGATTTTCAAAATGTTATTAACTGTTTAGTTTAGGGGTTTCCCTAATTGGTGATTTTTTTTTTTTGCCTATCCCAGAGTTCATCTTTAACAGCTCTTGACCTCACACACTCACATGTCCCTACTGGCCCATAATAGCAAGGCCTATAGAGGGGAATCCAGAGCCAAAAGGCAACAGGAACTGGTCATTCTTTGTATAACAGTGCACCCTAATCTTTCAAACTCTGCACTTGCACAGGTCCACTTTAAGGTCCATATATAATATTAATTCTAATGTTGCTCACATATTATCTCAAATGTATTGGTTAAACTGCAATTGAATTAGAACTTCTTACTGAGTGAAACCATCATCAACTGACTTTAGATGTCTATGAACCTCCAGCTGAGCCAAGTATGCTAGTTGTGATACACAGAATTGAATACAATGTAGCACTGTTGCTGTACAGCCTTGTTGAAACTTGGTGATAAATGGAGAACAAACCTTAATTTGCAACAATATTTCTTTTTACTACCACAGGTCTCCAAGGCAGCATTGGTGGGCCAGCAGATGAGCACCACCTATCTAAAATAGAATACTGAATAGTTGATAAAATAAAAAAGTCTTCTAATCCTACTCCTGAGAGTCAAATCTGATACAGAGGTCAGGAAAACGATCCAGATATATGATCTGTAAACCACATGGCTTGCTGATTATTTAAACAAATGGTAGTTCTCTTCTCTGATGGGAATTGCATTCAATGTATGTTAGATAAAAAAATATGTGTGGATAGACAGGAAGCACTAAAAGATTGCTTGAAAAAAGAAGGAAGGATAATGTCCTGGAATGAATCATTCACAACCTTAACTCTTTAGATTACGTGTGGACCCACCAAAAAGAGGTCTGCATGAAGGTCAACTGCCTCTCTTGAAATTCTGTAGATATATATATATAATAAATATCTATATACACACAGTGAAGGAAATAAGTATTTGATCCCCTGCTGATTTTGAATGTTTGCCCGCTCACAAAGAAATGATCAGTCTAAAAATCGAATGGTAGGTGTATTGTAACAAATCCGTGCATAATTTGTTAGACATGCATTTCTTTTGACTTTTTTGTTGCTATTCTGTCTCTCAGTGTTACAATACACCTACCATTCAATTTTTAGACTGATCATTTCTTTGTGAGTGGGCAAACATTCAAAATCAGCAGGGGCTCAATTACTTATTTCCTTCACTGTGTATATATATATATATATACACATACATACATATACACATATATATATATATACAGTTGCAGGAAAAAGTATGTGAACCCCTTGGGATTAAGTGGAGTTTTGCATGAATTGGGCATAAAATGTGTTCTGAACATCATCTAAGTCACAACAATAGAAGAACACAGTCTGCTGAACATAATACTACACAAACATTAGATGTTGCCATGGTTTAATTGCACATAACATGTAAACATTCACAGTGCAGGGAGGAAAAAGTGTGAGGCCCTAGCTTAATGACTTCTCCCAGAGCTAATTGGAGCCAGGAGTGAGCCAACCTTGACTCCAATCAGTGTGATGATATTGGATGTGTTGCTGACAGCTGTCCTGCCCTTAAAAAACACACACCTGTTTTGGGTTTACTGGTTTCAAGAAGCACTGTCTGATGTGAACCATGCCTCGCAGAAAAGAGCTCTCAGAAGACCTACCATCAAGAATTGTTGACTTGCATGAAGCTGGAAAGGGTTACAAAAGTATCTCCAAAAGCCTTGATGTTCATGTGTCCACGGTAAGAAAGACTGTCTACAAATAGAGAAAGTTTAGCACTGTTGCTACTCTCCCTAGGCGTGGTCGTCCTGTAAAAATGACTGCAAGAGCACAGCGCAGAATGCTGCATGAGGTAAAGAAGAATCCCAGAGTGTCAGCTAAAGACCTACAGAAATCTCTGGCACATGCTAACATTTTTGTTGACACATCTACAATAAGGAAAACATTAAACAAGAATGGAGTACATGGGAGGACACCACGGAGGAAGCCATTGCTGTCCAAAAAGAAGATTGCAGCACGTTTGAAGTTTGCAAAAGAGCACCTGGATGTTCCACAGCGCTACTGGCAAAATATACTGTGGACAGATGAAACCAAGATTGAGTTGTTTGGGAAGAACACACAACACTATGTGTGGAAAACAAAAAGGCACAGCACACCAACATCAAAACCTCATCCCCACTGTGAAACATGGCGGAGGGAGCATCATGGTTTGGGGCTGCTTTGCTGCCTCAGGGCCTGGACGGATTGTTGTCATTGATGGGAAAATGAATTCCAGAGTTTATCAAGACATTTTGCAGGAAAACGTATGACCATCTGTCCACCAACTGAAGCTCCGCAGAGGATGGGTGATGCAACAGGACAATGACCCAAAGCATACAAGTAATTCAACAAAACAATGGCTGCAACAGCACAGAATACGCCTTCTGGAGTGGCCCAGTCAGAGTCCTGACCTCAACCCGATTGAAATGCTGTGGTATGACCTTAAGAGGGCGATTCACAGCAGACATCCCAAGAATATTGCTACACTGAAAAAGTTTTGTGAAGAGGAGTGGTCCAAAATGACTCCAGATCGTTGTGCAGGTCTGATCTGCAACTACAGGAAACGTTTGGTTGAGGTTATTGCTGCCAAAGGAGGGTCAACCAGTTAAGTCCAAAGGTTCACATACTTTTTCCTCCCTGCACTGTGAATGTTTACATGTTATGTGCAATTAAACCATGGCAACATCTAATGTTTGTGTAGTAGTATTATGTTCAGCAGACTGTGTTCTTCTATTGTTGTGACTTAGATGATGTTCAGAGCACATTTCATGCCCAATTCATGCAAAACTCCACGTAATCCCAAGGGGTTCACATACTTTTTCTTGCAACTGTATATATATATATATA